CCCGCCGCACGCCTCACCTCCCCCCGGCTCCAGACCCCGCGGGCGGTCGCCGGAGCCCCCCCGCCCAGCGCTGGCGGCGGCCCCACCTCACCTGGCGGCGGCGGCAGCGGGAAGAGGGTCCCGGTCCGAGCGCGGCGGGGAACAGCTGCGGCAGCAACGGCACTTCCGGAGAGCCAGCGGCCACCGCCCAGCTGGCGCAGAGGAAGGAAGGCGCGGGCGAGACCATCCGCGCGGAGAGGCGGGGGGGACGGCGACGAGGCTCGTCGCTTCGGCACGAGACGGCACAAACCGTGCCCAGGGATGTCCCGAGGGTGACTGTGTGAGGCACGCTTCCTCTCAGGGGTCTCCACCTTCCTCGGGAGGATAAGGTCAAGGCTTCGGGCTCGGCCTCTGTGCCGTCCGCCCCCCGGCAGACCGGAGCGTTGGTGCAGCGCGGTGCGGTCACCGCATTCCAGGGGCGGGGGGCGGAGGGAGCGCCGCGTCTGCCCTTGTAAGGCAACGGCGGGACTTTCCTGCTCGGCCGGCTCGGGGCGACGGGCGGGGCGGGGCTCCGCCCCTCGGCCGGGCGCCGTTCTCGCGGTGCGCGGAGGGGCGTGGCGGTGTTTGCCCCCCAGGCCAGCGGAGGAGGTCCCAGCCGCCCTGGGAGCCGCACGTCGCGAAACACCCGCCTTTCCAAGGGCCTCTGTTTAATTAGGGCTGCAGTTGTCTCACAAAGCGTTGCAGGCCTCAGCTGTTCCCCTTTTCTGACAGAAAAACAAACCGTGTTCCCAGCTGTCTTTGAATATCCAGGACAGTGCGGTGGCGGGGGGGAGCCGGTAACCAAGCCATCAGAACGCAAAAATACATTTTGTTACTGTCGTGCATTTTAAGGAGGTGCTGTTGCAACAACAGATCTGGAAGACTGCTCTTAACGAGTTTGTTACTTGTCTGTCTTGGGTTCGGAGACAATAAGTAAGGCTGCGTATTTGGCCTGGTTTCCTAGGGAGAGGGGGCTTATGCTGGTTTGTCGTCTGCATGTAATCCCATCCTGGAGTAGTTTTTACCCGCCTAGGCCAACGCCAGCCGGTGTAACAGAGGTCTCAGGTATATTCAGTTCTCACATCATTTGTGAAAATGCTGAGGGATTACCTGTATTTCTGACTTTACTGAGGGAAATAAAACTTCTTAACTGAGCACCCGGGAGGTGCAGCAGCTGGGCTGTGCCTCCCCAGGCCCCCCCCTGCCTGGTGCAGGGGCAGTGAGCACGGTGCTGCAGCAGGCAGAACATCTCCGCTCGGCTGCCAAGCGCCGGGCCACAGCTGCATCAGGAGAAAGGTCTCCCGCTTGCACCGTGTTCCTTATCACTGGTGCTGCCCAGCAGTATTTTTTATTTATGGGGAAGTGGGGTGGCTTCTGTCACATCTCCTGTGTTTCTGTCGTGTGCCAGCAGGATGCTGCGCTTGGGATATGGGTCTTCTGCATGGTCACCAGCAGGACCTGACCCCGAGCACACGTGCTTCTGTTGCAAGGCGGCTATGATGTGGAAGCTTGGACAACCCTTCCTCTCGTGATCCAGAAACGGGTTGTTCTGCACGCTGCGGACGAAACTCACGCCTATTCTGAACCACTTTTTTCAATCTTTGTTTCTTACGTTTCTAGAGCGCAATACTTCTACTGCTGGAGTCAGTAGCAAAATTGACGTGTAATTTAGCAGGGTTAGCCTTGATAAGAGCAGGAATGGGAATCTTTATCTATATTACAGGTTGTATTTTTATCCAACGATGAAATAAAAGATATTCGATAACAATGATTTCCTAATTTTTTCCTTCAAAAATTGATACAAAACCAACTCAATGATTTATAAGTATGTTTATTTTTAGGACCTATTCTAAAATAATTTTTTAGCTTACCCAAAATTGGAATAATGAAAAATGTATGAATAAAAGAACAAAGGCTAAAATGTGAATAATGAATATGTAGGAAGACCTGTCAGAATAGGCCTTCATACCTGGGATCTGTGTCTGATGTGTCTGGATATGAGTAGCTGCCAGGTTTAATATTTAACATAATGAGTAATACTTGATATATTGACTAACCACAGAGGAATTCAGCCTATACTGTAAATTACCGTAGTTGAGTTTACCTTATTGCCCACTGACTGTTCACAAGATTTTTTTCTGAATCATTTCTTAGTGGCAAAAGGTGTGCAACCTTTTATTTTGAGAAGTAGGGAGAAATTCAGAGACTCACTAGATTTCAGGCATCTTTAAGAAATACAGACAGCAGTAATACTGATTCATGAAGAGCAATCCTGTTTCCAGAAAAAATAATTGACCAGTTATAAAAAAATGCCTGATTCATTTGTAACATTCTTCTTCATTAGCTCTCATTAAACTTCTTTAGACAGTATAAAATCATCATAAGTTCCAGTTTCAGATGGTGAAAATGAAGCACAGGTGGGCTAGACAACCAATGACACATAAATGCTAAAGATGCGGATGGGAATGTAAAAGGATTTTCAGTAAGGTAAGTAGTTTTGGAGTCTACCTTCAATGGGATTTGGAAGCTTGCACACTTCCAAAATTCCTATGAGCTTCCAATCTTTGGACACCTAAATAACTTAAATATCTACCTTAAAGTGACTTACCTGCTCCTTCCTCAGAGGCCAGAGGTCCCTAAAGTAGGCAGTTTTCCAAGGCTGCTTGTAAACTCAGTCTTGTATACATGCTAGACTTAGGCTAATCCTTCTGGGTTGGTGTCACTTTTGTATGCACAGACAGTCTCACTGCAGTAAATACAGTATTAACGGAGCAACCAGGCTCCTCTCTTGGCTAGCAGGCAATCTGCCCGGGGACACCTCTGCGGTGGCTTGTTTGGGGAAGGGCCTGCCTTCCTGGGCGTGCTTGGTCACTGGCATCATTGCATTTTTGCATCTTCTGTGTCCTTTCACACTCCACTGTTGTAGGGATCTCCACTGCTTCTTTCTATATACCTTTGGGGAAATTCTCACGCTCGGTAATACCTTACTCTGCATGCAGATCAGTATTTTCCACAATACTGCAATGTGATCATTTCCATGGAGGGGAACTGTACAATACAGTACTGTACAGTACAGTTCCCCTCCATGGAAATGATCACATTGCATTCCAGGCTGGCAATGGCAGCCTAAAATTAATTGTATCAATTTACCAAGAAGAGTCTGCAGCCAGCAAAATCCTGGGCATATGGAAGTAAAGGGCCAGAATGTCACACCTCTTCATCAGTGTGTCTCCTGTATGAGGATGCATTTTACTGGGAGAAGCATACTTTAATGAAGTGCATACTTTAACAAAGCTCATGCTTCATAAAAAAAAACCCCAAACAATTCAGTGGGACCTAGGGCATTCAAAGAAACCAAAGCAGAGCACTGTCCTCAAGTAGATGATTTACCTACTCTAACCATATGTCAAAATTAGCAGTTTGCCTAATACTTTTCAATGTTTTGTTTTCTTTGTCTAGAAATGAAACAATTACCAAAGTAGTTAAATAATAATAATAACAATTATAGTACTACTGCAATAGCTTAATACATTTGCAACAAAGGTCAGAAGAATATGCTTTTATGGTATTCAGTTATGTAAACAATAGTATAGTCAGACTATTAAATAAAATAAACCAAGTAAGCTGGACTATTGTTATGTTCTGGGAATCGCCAATACTGACAGTCAGGAAAGAAGGGACGTGCTCTGACTTGTTACCAGCTCCAGCAATCAACACGTGTTTTCCACGCTACAGTGAATAATGTGAGTTTACTTAAACAGTGCAACTCCAGCTGATACTAGCATATGGAAGGTGGGTGCCACAATGTGGGCCTGGCAGTGCCGTTCCTAGGGCATTCCTAGTCTGGGAATATGTCCCTGCGCCTCACTGGCCCACCCACCATTGAAGTAAAGAAATATTGTGAAAGCGCAAAGTGATGTCGATACACTTGAGAACAAACCAAACCAAAGTGCTATCTAAGCCAAGCTATTCTCCCGCACCATGAGCGAGAGCACATGAAAGAAAGAGAAATGACCAAAGTGTCTGAAGTGTTAAAAAAGAGCACTTTGGAGGGCTGTCTGTACTGAACAGTTGTGTCTATGTACTGAGTTAGTCCTCTGGTATTGCAGAAGAGAAAATAACTGCAAAGTAATGATGAAGAATACAGTTACCTTTGATTATGGTATGCTAGATGACATCAGAGCTTATATTTATCTTTCTTGCTCTTTCCAGAGACTTCTGTCTGCTATGTTACTTTTTCCCCAGGCCACATTACTTTTTTGCAGCCATGATCAGTACTACAGGAACATTTTTAGTTTGAACAGCCCTGCAACGTTCGTTTCTTTTTAATCTTGCAAATGCATCTCTCTCTCATTTTGTACTGTTGCATTATGTGTGAAGTAGATTTGTCCTTCCATTTTGGGACAAAACCTGGTTCCAATGTTGAATGCAAGGAGTCAAGGCACGTGCTGGGCATTGCAAGCACTGGAAGTAAAAGGAATAGCAGCGCATGGATCCTCTGTGCCTATTCTGCTCTGTGACAACTTCTGTCACACCTTACTTATCTGTGAGCGGGTTATGCAGTTTGTGCAGTGACTGGGGATGCACAAACTTGATGTGGATGCTGCATGAGCAGGTCACATTTGGGAGCAGCACAGCCACATTCCCATGGCATTGACTGTGAGGACTCCCAGGCCTCCCTGGCTGGCAGGTGAGAGACATCCCTGCTCACTGTAGCAGCGTTCCTTCATTCGTTAAGCTCCTGTTGTGGTCTCCATCCTGCAACTTACACGTGGCTTGTACTAGAAAAATTTTTTTTTTCCCCAGGTTACTTCTTCCCCTGATCGCCGTGGATGCTGCCTGTACTACATTTAAGATGAGATACCTCTCATGCTGGCGCCTCGCTCCGAGACGAAGGTGCCCGTTTTACCCACGGCTTTAGCCTGCTGCCATTCCGTGCTGTCCTTGCAGAGCCCGGGGCAGCGAGGCTCCACGCCCGAGCCCCCCGTCCGGGCCCAGGGTCCCTCCTCCCGGCAGCTCCCTTCTCCTCGCCCCGCTGCCAGACACCTGCACCGGAGCCCTCCCGCTGCCTGCTCTCAGGCTCCGGGGAGGCTGATATTGACTCACCTTGGCTTACAATTCCGACCTCGAGCGGGACAGCCCTGTGCCGCTGCAAGCCGCCCGGCCGACGGCAGCGGGGCGGGCAGCTCCCGTACCGGCTGCCACCGGCAAGGGGAGCTCCTCGTTTGGGTCGGAGCCGAGAGAGCGGCGAGGCCCGGTACCGGCACGGACAGGAGAGGACGCTGTAAAATTACATTAAATGGATTCGGGGCTAAATCCTGCTGTGGCCTGGGAAAGGCAGGGGCAAGGCGCTCCAGGCGCCGCGGGCTGCGGGGTGACACTCGGGCTCCTTCCGAGCTCCCAGCGCCG